CTCCATATTCAGTACAGTGGGAGTCATTGGGCGAAGCGAACATAAATTCCGCAAGAGCGTCATACAAGGACTCACGGTGGAATTTCGACGAAATATGCGATCTTTACATTTTGAGCAAAATTCATGAGGACATGTTTTCGTAGGCTCGTAACTCGGCGAATTTTACACACTGGAGCCTGAGCTATGCACCATTCGATGACACAGTTCACAATAACTTTGAGCTTTGATAGCAAGCAAGCGAGTTTTCTGACAGAAACGCGATAGGTGCAGGCAAAATTACGAGCTTTTGTGACTTCGTTACAATTACCTCACCATACCTCTCCAAAAAGACCCTGTAATCCTCAGAAACCACGATTTTCGTGAAGAACGTGTTCGAAAACCTCTACAAGCGAAGTTTCCTTACAATTCAAGAGCATCAACATCTTGAACAAAATCCATCGGGGAGCTTCCGGAGCATAAAACGAGAAAAAATGAAATAACCCGAACATGTCGGAAAACTTGCTTATAGAGGTTATCCGACCTGCTGATTTCAAAACTTACATCTACTTGGCAAGATAGCTTCGTATTTTAGGGCTATGGCGAGTAGAATGTGGGGCGACAAGACTTTTTCCACATTTCACCAGCCCTTCTATTTTTTTAAAACGAAATCTGGGGCTAATATTTAGCGCATCATAACCTACAGAAAAAGTACAATCGAAGGGTTCTTGCTGGAATTTACTTGAGATAATGCTCGCTGCTTTACACCTTCGCGAAGAGACGTCCGCAGAAAGATTCAAGAATACTGAAATCGAAACATCAGGGACATGCTGATCAAAAGGTTTGCCTAGATAAGCTGAGCACGGCGCTTTTTCCAGATTAAAAATATACTTATTTTTAAGGAATATGGGGAGTAGGATTTAAAAACGCGTGCTTTTTCCAGAATTCAACAACGCTTCTATCTCCTTTGGAAAGAATTATGAGCCAATTTTTAGCGCAAAATAATCTACAAGACCAGTGTCATCGAATAATACTTAGTAAAGTCTTCTATGTTGGGTAGGCGTGCTTCACATATTCGCGAAAGGACCTCCGCAGAACAACTTAAAAAAACTGGAAACGGAATATCGAAGACATCGTACCTTCACTGTTAGAAGATTCTCCGCGCCGAGCTGAATCAAATGGTGGCTTTGGATTCAGAATTCGTCCACTATGAAGCGAGGTATGGCCATGCGACGGTGATGTCCATACATTAGGCGACCGTCACATAACTCATGCGACCGTCGCGTGACTCATGCGAGCGGTAAATACGCTGATTTTCACCCCCTTATTTTTAGATTGTAGTCTCGTAATTTTGCTACTTCCCCTCTATGACAAAATTGAAATCACTGCGTTTTAGACTTCATTACATGAACTATACGTGACATAGAAATGAGTTTCCAAAAGAGATATGCTACGAGACCGGTGACGAGTGTGAGCAAAACTATTACCCACAAAAAGATGTCCAGATTGTAATAGTTAACAACAGAAAGATGTACAAATTGTAATAGGCAATGACCCCGAGATTACTGTCGTCGATCCTCAACTCCGGCATTGGGCCAAACTCGGCAGCTAACTCGATAGTCCCGCTCAACTTCTCCTTAGGCAGGTTGTTTTGTCAGAATGTCTCGAACACGGTGAGAGGCTTTTCGGTACCTTCAACACATATGGTTGATTGCGTAAGTTCGTATCTGTATGTTTTTCTTACTTTGACTCCTTGAGAACTTCCCCGATTGCGCAAGAGCGTTGCTGTCGTACAACTTTCCCTTATCCAGCATCAGTCCTCAAAACTGCATCGTTAAGTTTTTTTCTAGAATTTGCAAAGACGTCCACCCCTTTGTTTGCCTAGCACTGGGCAGGGTATGCCAGATTCACGCCGATTGCTGTATTTACAGGCCGCCTGACGGCACCAGATCCGTGCTGTGCAGTCGTTACGAGCTACAAGTTACACGAATCCCAGCTGAGGCAAAGGGCGGACAAGTTAATGTCGGGTTGCTTAAGGCACCTCTGGACCGAGCAAGAACGCATGTCGCTGCGACGGCGCGCCCAAATGTGTTTCTTACGCTAACTTACACCGGTAGACTGATGGAGTAATATATTGGCTTGCTCCTAACAAGGGAAGGATACTCGACTGCAGTGACGATTGGGTAAGCGGTGTGTAGCGTATACCGTCCCAGACGGTGATCTCTAAATCGCACTTCATACCTGCTATGACATTATTCTGGAGCTATAAAGGATTTTTGGTGCTACGGGTGCATTATTAGGCTTGCTCCATCACTGCCGTGGTTGACTGGTGCTTGGATAGTGGCTTGGACTGCTGGGTTGAATGTCGTGGGTTCTACTTCCTCGGATGCCGCGGGTTTTGCATTTTTGCAAGATCTTTCATAACTTTTCCAGAATGACGTCATAGCAGGTATGGTGTTTCAGAGATCACCGTCTGTGGACGGTATACGCGGTATACACCGCTTACCCAATCGTCACTGCGATCGAGTATCCTTCCCTTGTAAGATCCGTCCGTTTTCAGTTTTCATCCCAGTGACTCCCACTTTTGAATTCAACAGAGTAGCATTCATTTTGCACAGGGTAAGCTCAGATTAAGTTGAAAATCGAAATCCAAAAATATTCAGACCTAAAAACCCGAGAAATTTCAGATCTCTGCTTAAGAAGTTTCTAAGAAGCTGTAACTTGTTCACGTATACACAGTCTCGGTCAATCATTTTATGAACATTTGCTATATTTTTTTCATAGCTAAAAATTGAGAAAAAGAATTAACCCAAAACACGAAAACGTCAAATAGTTAAGGATCGCTCTGTAGAGCTTGGTTTGCTCTATACTTGGTATATGTAAGGTCAGCCCATAAGTCTTTCCACAGTCTGTTTACCACAATAAATCAATTTCTTATTCAAATGCATGAGATATATCGGTAGAGAAAAGCGAATTCCACATGAAAGCGTAAATTTCACGCAAGGTTTGATCCACATGGTGTTCCAAGTCAAACCTAAGAAGTTCTGTAACTAGAAATAATATCAAAGAAAATCAAAACTCTAAAAAAAATCCTGCCTATTTAAACCTACTGAAAAGTATGTTTTTCATATCAGACATTCATTTGTTAACTTACTGTAAACCAGTGCGTCACCTCTGCTTCGCAGAGGTTCGCACTGGTTCTACTATCCATATGCCTCATTACTTTCCCATAATGATGGCAGTGAAACTCACCGCGCAGTGGCCGACTACCACGAATAGGATTTCAACAACCACTCATTTAGAAAGTCTTTTCACGTGAGATCGGTGATTTCGCATGGATGAAACTTTTCGCAGGAAGACAAACGCAAATTTGAGTGGGTTCCTGGATTTTTTATGGTTTGGTAGTTGCCATAAGGCCAACAGCCACCGCAAGCAACACTTCTGCGTAAAAATCTTCTCAAATGCGCCAGTAGAACGCTTTCAAATTGACCATTTACGCAACCAATCCATTTTGGCGTCATTTTCGCAAAGTAGTTGATTTTTGCCCATTATTTGGGCTGGAGTGCAAAGCTTGCACATTTACTTGTCAAACACCTCAACGTTTTCGCAAAAAGTGCTGACAGGGACCCAATTTTGTAGGTCAGAAGCGAAGTGGACCCGTTTGACGCGCAATTTCTGTAAGTTTCACCCAACGAATCCACTCATGCTTTTGCATGGTGGGGTTTTGTGCTGGTAGCATGTGCTGTGCAAAATTTGGGCCCAGGACGTTTGCTGGAACACGCTCCACGAATTTCGTAACAGACACACACACACACACACACACACACACACACACACACACACACACACACACACACACACACACACACACACACACACACACACACACACACACACACACACACACACACACACACACACACACACACACACACACACACACACACACACACACACACACACACACACACAAAGTCACGTAAATACCCTTAGCCCGTTATTATAAGTCATGATTTTCATTGATAGAGCTGGAGAAAACGAAAGTTTATTTACGACGAAGCAAAGCAGTGCTGCATTCCTACATATATCAATCTATAGTAGAGATCTTTGTAAGTTTGACCATATACTTTCGTCCCAATTTCTGAAAATGTCAAATTTAGCATGGAGATTCCAGAAAAGCGACATTTGTGTTTTAATTTTGACTTATTCCTATTTCTCGATTTCTAACCAAAAGGTAGATAATTGCAGCAATTGTTCATATGGATATTTATTGTGGAGTGCATATGCATATGCATGTAAACAGGAGATGCGTAAGATTTTCCTGGGCAGAGATCCGACTTCTTCAGCATATTTCGTATTTGGCTCCGCTTGCATTGCTTAATCGAATTGTCGCTTGAACTGCGACTCAAAAAATGGAGGTGAATCGACTTGATTACACTCATGGAAACCTGATAAACTGGAACCATTTTTGTTGTTTTGATAGAACTTTTTAGGTCAGCTATAAGACTATCACTCCGTTCGCAGTTCTCGTTTGCTAACACGGAAAACCTAGGCTTTCTGCAAGTAATGCTTCCAGCAGTCTTCCTTCTCCAGCGATGGGAAATGACAAAGGAACCTGGGTTTACTCAGTTGGACGCTGGATTTGCATACAGCTACATCACTGTTTCTGTACCTTTATAGACAAACTTATTAGATTTACTGCGTTTTGGATTTGACTGCATGAACTGTACCTAACATAGAAATAAGCCTCCGTAAAATATACGCTACGAGACCGGTAATAAATGTGAGCAAAACTATTAACAATAGAAAGATGTCTAGATTGTAATAGACAATGACTCCGAGATTACGGCCGGCCATTCTTAGCTCCGGTATAGGACCAAATTCGCCAGCTAATTCCACAGTCCTGATCAACTTCTCTCTAGGCGGGGGTTGCTTTGCCAAAATGTCTCGAACGCGGTGAGCGGCTCTTCGGTACCTTCAACACGAATCGTTAACCGCACATAATTCGTACCTAAATGTTTTCCTTACTTTGGCTCCCTGAGAACCTCGCCGATTGCTCCGCCCAAAGCCTTGCTGTCAAACAGCTTCTCCTTATCCAGCATCAATCCTTAAAATGCATTGTAAAGTGTTGTCTAGGAAAATTTGCAGAGAAATTCCGCCCCTTCGGATGCCCAGCTTTAAGCAGAGCAAGTCAGATTCATGCCGCTTGCCACTGCTGTAGTTACAGGCCGCCTGACGGCACCAGGTCCGCGCAGTCAGTCGTTACGAGCTACAAGTTAAGCACACGAATCCCAGCTGAGGCAAAGGGCGGACAAGTTAATGTCGGGTTGCTTAAGGCACCTCTGAACTGGGCAAGAACGCATGTCGCTGCGACAACTCGCCTAAATGTGTTTCTTATGCTGACTAACAACTACCGGTAGACTGATGGAGTAATATATTGGCTTGTTCCTAACAAGGGAAGGATACTCGATTGCAGTGACGATTGGGTAAGCGGTGTGTAGCGTATACCGTCCCCAGACGGTGATCTCTAAACCACACTTCATACCTGCTATGACGTTATGCTGGAAGAGCTATAAAGGGTTTTTGGTGCTGCGGGTGCATTGAATATTAGGCTTGCTCCATCACTGCCGTGGTTAACTGGTGCTTGGATAGTGGCTTGGACTGCTGGGTTGAATGTCGTGGGTTCGATTTCCTCGGTGCCGCGTTGCGTTTTGCAAAATTCTATATAGCACTTCCAGAATGACGTCATAGCAGGTATGGAGTGCGTTTCAGAGATCACCATCTGGGGACGGTATACGGGCACGAATCCCAGCTGAGGCAAAGGGACAGACAAGTTGATCGGGTTGCTCAAGGCACCTCTGAACTAGACAAGAACGCACGTCACGGCAACGACTAGCCGTAATGTGTTTCTTATGCTGACAACGACAGGACAGTCTCCACAAACATTCACCTCCGAGACCTTGCCGACTACGTGAAACAGCAATAGACCACGTGCGGCGGCTGAGTAATGTTTCCACTAGTAGTGGTGAGTAAGTTCCACAACACTGCTTGGGGTGATCTCTCATTCTCTTATCTATGGTCCATTTTTATCGATTCGCAGAGACTTCATCGTTTTAGATAAATATTTTCATTTATGAGTCAGAAGACCATCAGAATCGTCAGTTGCTACTTGGAAGCTTTTCTAAAAAAACACTGTTTTCGTAAAGAGCAAAGGGCGCCGACGGACATGTGAGTTGCCGAACTGATCGACTCATGCGGAAACCAAGCAAAAGGAGTTTGCTCGATATCTCAGATAGGTCCATTCTGCATTGGCTCCGATCACTGCCTCTGGCAAAGAAGATTTCCCCAAAATAAATCGAACTGAAAGATTTACAATTTTGTTTCGTAATGCATTTTTATGAGTTTTTGACCTTCAAAATTGCTGATTTGATTTTTTTTTCAATGTATCAAAACTAACAATTCATGCAACTATCTGGTGTCTCTTCTTCTAGATTTCGTATACTTTTAAAGAGTTGTACACTTATTATGTGCTATTTGAGGTCCAGCTGGCAATAAAAATCGCGCCTCTTAACATACACCCCCCCCCTCTAGCGCTGCAGAAAAAATGTTTTTGTTTATGATGGTACAAAGAAATCATGTCGAGTTGTGAATCACCCATGAGGAAACTCAATGTACGACTACGACGGCGTTATATATATTTTGAGAGCTTTGAGTTGTGAATGCTTTTTAAGACATTCACGACGAGGCTAAGTTATCGATTTCCCCATTCGGACATACAGCCCATCGGTGCCAACTTTCTCGTGCTTTTATTTCAATCGCCAATGGGTGGTATGGTTCGAAAGGTAGAATTGTAATTAGTGCTTTACCTATACTTTCAAACATTTGCCGAGATCCTATATGGATAATATAATTATAGTTTATAATGAACCACATATGTGGTTCCATTATAAACTTGCAATGCTTAGAGATACGAAGCACCTGTGAGTCGTATTGTCCGAAATAGCAGTAAACGTACGACCGACCCGCTGGCAGGTCGTATTCTCGTAAAGGTGTTAAAGGAAGTTGCTCGGCATTTTTACCCAAACTTTTTCACTTACCTGGGGTAGTACGACTCGCTGATTCCGAAAATTCACCTCAGAAAGCGCGCAAAGGCGAAAACAAGCATTTCCCTAGGCCCTTCATTTTGAATTGGACCGGTAAAACAACTCCCGCTAAGGTCGAGGAAGCAGCGTCGTTGCGGGACCCTTATAGTTATAGCGATGGCAGTGCATGTTCATGGGGGGCGGACTACATGTCGAAAGAAGGTGGTTTCAAGCGAACATCTGCGCCACTACCCCGTAGTCATGCACGGTGCAGACAGTATGGATTTGCATCAGCTGTCCGCGGGAGGTGGAGCCTGTCGGCGACATATAGTCCCCTACCCGTTTTTATGGAAGTGACAAATCAAAGAAAATCAACCGACTCCTATCGACAGAAAATCAACCGATAATCACAACTTATTCACTTATATCTCGCGAGCAATACTGTCGCAGGCATTCATATAATCGCAGGGACAAGCGGCCATGCGATTTATGGGCGGGCGGGCACCGGAAAATAGTACACTGATTTCTTGCGGTCCGCCTGCAGAGGAATAATTTCGGCAAAATTTCAGACAAATGCTTGGAGAACAGTTGCAGTTTTTTCAAAGATTGATTGTGGCGCGAGAACTACTGCTCAGTTAATCGCCGCAATAATTGGTTTTCTGATGTCGGATAAGCTCAGTTCAGCTTAGTGAATGTCATATGTTGGTTACTCCTCATTTAGCCCGGTCCACCAATCCCTCGTCTTTTCCAGTAGAGCTAAGCTGATACTTATTTTTGCGTCTAATCGCCAATCAACTCAGATAGTCGCCGGGGTTAGGCGGTCCGCAAACGCGCGCTTTTCTGCAGGCGGCAGAATTTTGAGGAGTGGCCAAACCTTTAGCGAGCGATACTTCCAGATTCTGGCAGCGGGCGGCAATAAAAAAAATTTCCGCAAGCGCTCGTCAAATAATCTCTTTCAGCAAGCGCTGGCCAAACTTTCAGCAAGCTCTCGGACTCTTTTTACGCAGCTTCGAGCAAACGCTGAGCAAAAATAACATTCTACATAGCAGAGGTCTCATCGATGGTTTAATTACCCGAGTTTGGGGTACTTTCTCTTAGCGGAAGGTACCTACAGGTTGTGCGATCCTTCACAAAGGACCGTGCAGCTCCCAATAATTTTGCATATTTTCGCGGAAGGTCCGCGAGATTGCGGCCACTGCGCCGCAACTAATCTACGAAAAATCCCCAATTTCTCCGAGCATTCGTCTAAAAGTCTTTCGTCTTCGTCTTTTGCCAAAATTCTTCTAAGTATCTGCAGGCGGATCGCAAGAAATCGGCGAACTGTTTTCGTTTTCAAGGCGTCCGCCTGTCCGTAATTCGCATGGCCCCGGCGATTGTCTGAGTATGTAGAGTATTACCTTTGCCGGCGTACGCCCGAAACTGCGTAAAAAGGGTCTGAGTGCCCGGTGAAAGTTCGATCCGCGCTCGCTGAAAGAGATTGCTTGACGAGCGCTTCCAGAAAATGTTGTATTGCTGCCCGCTGCCTGCACATGCGACAGTAAGGGAAGTACCGCTCGTTGAAGGTTTGGCGACGCTCCAATTTTTGCTGACCTTTTGGAGAACAGCGCGAGTTTGCGGACCGCCTGCCACCGATGATTATCTAAGCAAAAGCAGAAGCGAGAAAGATTGGGAACGAATGGAAATACCTGTGCTGAGGTCTGACGTAACGTGAGCTTGAGCCTGAGTATTAGAGATGCGATAAGTGATATTCGATGGATCTCATCGCCTTCATTTTTGGGGAAAAAAGGAAAGAAAATAAGGACGATAAATACCTTCAGTCCAGTGGCGGTCCGAGAAATTTTTTTCGGGGGGGGGGCGACAAAAAATTTTTTCTAAAGAAGGTGCGTGGCGTCAGCCACGCACTCCGAAAAAATTTTTGGGGTGCTTCTTAAAATTTTTGCGGGTCTCCGACCCCTAAAGTCTGAAAAAAGGGGGCGTGGCGTCAGCCACGCCCCCGAAAAAAATTTTTTTATAAGGCTAAAATGAATTTCTAAAAATTTTCAAAAATTATTTTAATTATTTTCAAGTGCAAACAAGTCGTTTGCACATTTTTACAACCCATATAGGTAAGTTTCAAAAATTTCGCGACCCATTCTCGGGGGGGGGGGGGGGGGGCGCGCGCCCCCCGCCCCCCCCTTTCGGTCCGCCACTGCTTCAGTCTTTAAAAAACGTCAGTTGTTTCTTCTTCTCAGCCAGCACATGATTGTATTTTCAAATGGAATGTAGCAACAGCGCTTGATGAAAAAATGCCCGCTCGGAGTTCTCCAGTTTAGCAACGTGTATCAGTAAATGCGTCTAATTGTCTAACTGTGCTACTGGGCAAGCCCTGACAAAAATTGTGAGATCTCTATCATGGTCTTTTTTTTGGAATTTGAGCGCAAAGTGATTACACGATAAGATGAAGCTAGATAAAATTCTTCACAGACTGTCGTCGATTTTTGTTCTGAGCCAGTAATAGTGGCATTGAAAGACTAGGAACGGAGGCCATGAAGCTCCAAAGCCCAGCCACCTTTACCCATAGGCGTATTACGCCTTCAAGGCATTTTCGCACCTCTTTCCGCTGGCTAATCTCATTCTGAGTTGTGCAGGATTGGAGAATAGTTTCCAAGTGCTCTGGTAAATGGATGAATAATGACAGATGGAAAATGGAAGAGAAAATATGAAGTCGACGACAAGAAGTATATGTGATAATAGTGCACGTAAGGTAACTTTTCCGTTAGCGTTGCTCATTCTCACGGTGGCCCAAGAAGGACTGCAGACCAAGTGGAGGAAGCTGATAAAAACTCGGAGCCGATTTGAATAGCAGAGGTGGATAGCACGACGTAGAAGGATGGAAGGCAGAATTGGCTGATGGCAGAAGCTAATAGGGGAGGGTGCAGAATGCTGCAAGAGAGAAAAGCAGGAAGTGGAATCAAGATACCAAGGCTTTCCGAATTAGTAAACGCGTGAAAAGATAACTAACGAAAAACGATAACGGGGCTTGTCCGTTGCTGCGAGAGACTTCTGGAGTTTGAATGGGTGCTAGTTATGTCCTTCAGAGGTGCTAGGACTCCTACGTGCCCTCTTCCCTCCCCCCGCCCCTCCCCCCGAGACTAGGTACTTTTATGTTGAAAAGGTCAAGTTTCTGCGTGATTATTATGAAGGCCGAAGCGTTGGAGCATTTTCCTTACTGAACCTTTTTACCCTTTATGAGTCCCCTACGAGGCTGGGACGCATTTCACCTTTCAGGGTCCAAAACAGCCGCCGTCCCCTCCAACTGAAGTGCACTCGGTTTCACATGTCGCTACTACCCAGTTGATATTCAAAAGGGAAATGGTCAAAAGTCTAAGTGACCACTCAAACAAGCTGCATACCATTTGATGCAGCTTCGCTGACTTTAGGTCTGTCTTTCATACCTGCTGATCGTCTTTGTAGATAAAATAGTTACTTAAGCCCCCTGCGTAGAAATCGCGTATGCAAAGTGCAAATTTGACCGCATAGAGTCATATTTGGCTCAGTGCGGGGCCAATCATGCAGATGGGTCACTTTATGTAGCCCAAACCTAAGAATGAGCTGGAAGAGAATAATGTGCCTGCTTTGTGCTATTTATTCTTTTTATTTTTTGTGAATTATAATCTCGGCGTACAAAAAGGGTTCGGCGGATATGGAAAACTTCGAGATCAACCTTCTATGGTGCATCCAATGGTCTGTAAATTGTTTGCACTAGACACTTCGACTTTCTACCGCTCGACTTGTAATTTCGATTAGGAAAGATTCACCTACCAAATCCAAATTTCACTGCCAACATAGCATTCCTAGCCTGATCTGCAAATAGGGGCACAACAACGAGTGGTGTGCCAAGGAAAGCACCTTCAGTCAAACTCCCGGCTCCTCCATGGGTCACAAACAAGGACAGGCGATCGTCAGCTGGAAGCAAGTTTGAGTTCCGCACACAGGAAAAATTTGGCGTTCAAAATAGGTCACACATGAGTAACACAATGGCGAAAACTCACACAATAGGTCACTTTGAGGAGTCCACTTTGCTAAGTATAAGTTCTTAACGCCAGATGCGAATTGTGCATTATCAGAGTCTTCATATTTCCAGATGAATGTGACACTGGAAAATCTAAAAATGCAGAAACCTGTTGCGGAAATGCAGTGACAGAACGGAGGTTCTTACGATTCGGCGACTTCGACAATGGCTTTCTTCATTTGATCTGGCATACAGCTGCTATTTGCCAAAGTTCCAAAAGAGATTAACACAGTCTGTGAGCGTAGACCAAGCACTCGATCCCATCCCTAGATTAATCCCACAGCCTTCAAGCCAAAAATCACAAACTAATACCTTCCCCAGCGCTCTAGGTTCTTTTATGCCTATACCACCTATTTCGACAATGTTATGGAGAGACGGTTTGGCAAAATCGAAATAAGGAATGCTATTGGTCAATATGTACGACATGTTCGAAACAGAATCCTAAAAATGAAGCATTTGCGCGCATAGGATTCGTAGCAGCGCGTAAGATTCGCTTCTGTAAACGAAAGGGTCTTTCAGCATTCAAAATCTCACCCAAATAGGTGTTGCAGATTCTCCCAGTTCCTTCATCATTGCAGACTCCGCCGCATTCGCAAGTCCTTTTTGGTAATACCAGCAATAAAAGGTAAATACAAGATTGGTTACCCGAGTTGAAAATGATGCAGAATCATCGGTAACTCCTTGTGTGGCTAAAGTCACCATTTTGCATTTCGCTCAAATGATTGTGACTTCATATTAACACGTTGACGGCAAGCGATTTTTATGGTATATGTCCCTGTGGATGAGCCGTTTGCCTACATATTCACGCCTGGCTGCATGTATGTAAGCATGCATCTACAGGGCTTATCAAACGCAGTGTTGCTTGCATCAGCATCTCCACTCCCGCGCTGGACTCTGCGTCCCTTTTGCGAACATGCTCTCTAATTACTTTTAATCGATTGAGGCTCCGCCTTTCCCACGTTCGCCCCTGGGAATGTGATCAAAGAGCGTGTTCGCGGTAGAGATTCTGAGTCCAGCGCGGGAGTGGAGATGCTGATGCAAGCGACACTGCATTTGGTAAGTCCTGTACGCGCGAACAACAATATACATGTGAGCGGGCCGGCTCCGCCCCCTTCTGGCGAGCCTCGCCCACTCCACAAAAAGCTGGATTTTGCATGAATTTCAAGCATTCGTGCGAAATCCAGCATCTTTGAAAAGTGGGGGGGGGGGGGCTTGGCGCCGAGGGGGCGGGGCGTGAGCGGTGCCGAGGTTGAAGTCGCTTGAGGTTCCGCGGTCATTTATGGCCCCTTCTATGCACTTTTTGATGGCGAAAAAAGCTTCTTGTAAGAGGCAACGGAGTGGGCGGAGCTTCCAAAATAGGGGCGGGGCCAACATGAAATACCCCTTAACCTAAAGTGGTTATATGAGCACGAGAACGACTGAATACCTTAAAATTGGAATTTGAGGTGCCGCGCACCATTGCGCGGCACTATCATCAAAGTGTTAGAAAATACCTGGTATGAAGCTGGGAATAATCGGGACACCGATGGCGTATGCTGTACCTTCCACCAAAGAAGCATAAGAATGTGTACCAATAATATTTTTGAGGTTTATAGCCTCGAACACAGCTGAATATAGTTTGGCTTAGCAGCGTCGTACATTTCAGATTACTAATAGGAAGTTACCTATCCCTATAAAATCAAATAGTTCTGCTATGCCCACATCGAAATTCTCAGCTTTGAGGCTTTCCATCAACTTCTTATCTTTCAAAAGTGCTGCAAACATTGATAAAAATCTTACAATGGAATGATACCAACTTAGATTTGTCTTTTGAAATGGGACACATATATTCGGAAATAGCATTTAAAGCTGACACATATATTCGGACAGCTTTGAACGCTGTTTCCAAATATGCTGTTCCTAGCTGCTTAGACTTATTCCGAAGAGAGTAGTGGGCTTGCCGTTGTGAGTAATTAACAAACTTCTGAATGTCGTAAGACGGCGTGTAGATAGAAATCTGCCCGAAAAAAAAGTGCTAGGATGTTAACCTAGCATCAGATTAATTCTTTCATTTCATTTCATTTTCATTTTCATTAAATACGCTCAAGGCGTACCATAAAAAAAAACAGAAACAAACAGTGTAATTGTTAGTTTTACACAAAGCACGAATAATAACAGAACATCATATGCTTCAGGCCCAGACTTCATAAAACTAAAGAATAACGACTTAGCTTGCAAGAAGACTGCTGGATATTACGAATGTCAATGATGAGTTATATCCACAGAGATGGAACCCATGCCCCCGCGTTAGCCAGCAAACGATCTTAAGGTATTCAAACAAGCAAACGACGGCGGGTACATACCCACCGGCCTGCCGGGGAGAGCCCAAAACTCCATGAGCCTTGCCATATGTGCAAAACAATATCGTCAAGTACTGCACAACGAATGAATCTAAACAAATTGTTATTAAGATTTTCGATTTAAAAGGGAGCATTATGCATTACAATACCATCTAGACGTCGACACCGTAGCATCAGTAGGTGGAGGAGCGCACAAACTTTGCATAGAAAAAAGACCATAAGCGTTTCGGAATAACGCTAAGCAGCTAGGAGCAGCATATTTGGAACTAACGTTTTAAGCTGACTCCGAATATATGCGTCTCATCTTAAAAGGCGAATCTAAGTTAGTATCCTTCCCTTGTTAGTAGCATGCATGTTGATGAGCACTTACTTGTCACTGATGCATTTATCCATCGTGCCCACGGTGGAAGCATCTGTGAAGATCTTTGCCAAGTGTTAGAATCAAGATGTTTCGCAAAAATACTTACTTTGACCACATCGCTAGCGCGCATGGTACCAGTCCATCCTTTATTCTGGACTTCTCGATTTCTTTTCAGATTTGAAAGTTCTGATTTTATAGTGTCGTCGACATCCCTTTGAATCACATGGGACTTCGTCGTTCCATTGTCTACATCCTCTGCGATTACCGGTTGAAGAGTCACCTGTACATCAATTGTAGAAATTCAGTAATTGATTGTCTCATAATAAGCAATACAAATTGGAAAAAATCTTAGCACTCTTCCGAAAATCAAAGGCTTGTGATAGGAGAATTTGGATAGGGCTATAATTTGATAAAGAAACTCGCTATTTATTAGGAAAAGTTTGTACTGTTTTTACTCTGATGCATAATTCTTACACCAAAATTTTCAAAATTCTGTTACTTTCTTCAGATTCAGTAAATTTCTGTACACAATAGAAAGTGAAAATCTCGCGCTCGCTGGTGCTTGATTCAAAAATCTTTGATTGCACATGACACGATATAAGCTTAATTAGAGGAATGCTCAAAATGGTTTTCAAATTTGGTCGTTGAAATTGCTGAAACGTCCACTGGAGATTTTTTCTTGGTTTCATGACCTATTCTTTTTGATCAAAAGAAGCTGATAACGATGGAATTTCTCTACGAATAGCTATAAATCTCGATGTCTTAAAATTGACTTATTGGTTTTGTCTCAGAGTGAATTCCAAAATTACTATAAAATTCTACGCCTGGTGTACATTACAAAGAGCATTTTGAGTGATTTGGTTAGTTTGTTAAAGCATTTCTGAAACCAATTTTTTTTCTGTTTTTGGTGAAAGACTTGTTCACCAACCTAATATCTTGCAAAACAGCAGGTTTCCATAGAATCAAATTTGTTTTGCTACAAATTTTATAGAATTCGGTCATCTTCTGTTGGTAGTGAGTACAAATCAAATATATGTCAAAATTTCTTTAGAAGATTTGAAAGCACAAGAAGTAAGTTGATGATGCATTTGGAACTTACCACATCATGGCCCGCTTCCACAAGAATATCAGCTATTCTACCCATGAAATTCATATGACTATATGCGATTTTGGGATTGACAACAAGGATTTTGTATGAGTGACTGTTCCAAGTGAGTAAAAGTAGAAGCAAGGATGCTAACATGACTGAAAAAGTATGCACTGTTTTAGCAAAACAGTCCTATATAAGGTGCCTCACTAGAATTATGTAATTTCTAACAAGTTGGAGTATTTCTAATGCACGTTAGACTGTGATGCAAAATAGATCAATCATTGTTTGATGCATTCTAGGGCTCCGACAATTCACCCTGACCTGTAACTCGCATTACAACGCTTTGTCAAACGGGAAATGGAATAGGTAGAGAGGTCATCTTACTTTACAGCAGTAAGGCACTCTAACACTATTTACTACAAATTTTTTGGTACGAAGCTATAAAACAAGTTCTTGTTTGCGCAAGTTGCGGAATAATACACCATCATCGCTATCGTATGCATTTAAAATAAACAAATTCCGCCCGCATAAGAGCACCTGTTGTTGTTATACCAAGAATTTTTGTTGCATTTTTAGCGCGATCGTTTTATTTTGTTGCCAATGTCTGCAATGCTATAACGCAGTTAGCTGAGGCTTCCTCGAATCGTTTCCTCTACCAATTAGTATTGAACTATCTACGTAAATTACGCCTTACAAAAATTGAGTGTCAGCCGAGTGAAAATATTAGGTTGTTCCGAAAGTTTTTCGTTTTCCGTTTTTTTATTCTACCGTAAAAACCCGTGAGGTAAAGATGAACCAGGGCTCGGCATGAGCTGCACTAGGGAAATTCCAAAGCGAAGTCCCCTTTGATCCTGAGCATTTCGTACGAAGTCCCCTTTGACCCCAATTTCCAAACGTAGAAAACCTTTAAAAAAGAAACGTCGACTACAAAAAGTAATTTTTGTGTTTTTTTCGGCCACAAAAAGATATCCCCTTTGCTTTTGTCCCAAAAACGATATCCAGCTTGACCCGATGCCTGAGATAGCGAACACTTCAATAACTATTCGACGCAGTCTTTCTTCCTCTTTCCAGTACTAATGTTTTGAGACTATTTATATTGTGGTTTTTGAGATGACTGTAGAAATGTTAAAACGATGCCTCTCAACATGCTCAAGTTCGGCCATTTTCAAATTTTTGTTTGAACTTCTGGAATAGTTCTGATAAAAGCTGGATAGAGCTATCAGATTTAACATTATATTTTTGCGTATTCAACTAGTTTTTCAAAATTTTTTGCTAACAAATTTTAAACCTAATAATGCATCAACCGACAAGCAACTGCAGCTTGGGTATTGTTCAATGCCGCTTTTCTATTTTTTTCTGGTAGGAGTGCTATCTTCTCGATTCGTAAAATTTTCGAGAATAAAATCGTTCAGATTGTGAATATTTGGACGCCTCTACTGCTGTATTACTTTCACAACCCTCTATCTCAAAGCGCTGAATGACATTTGCTTTGCAAATTTGGTGTTAAATGATAATCGAGTTTTAGAAATTTTGAGCTCGAAAATTCATTGTTTGGAGCTCGGGTATCAAACAACTTTGCAAAAGTGAAGACCTTTCGGAAAATCATTTTGAAAAATACTGGAAGGTTAGTTGGAGATGCTGAAAAAATTTTTACATTGCACTTTGTTTACACTATCCGTCTGTTGTCACATTCGAAAATCTTGTAAAATTGCCAAACTTGGGTGTGGCGATAATGATAGTTTCGATATTGGGCAGGCATTTCAATGACCACGAGAATTATCGGCTGAAAAGAGGAGGAAAAACAGCATAAAATATATATTTGGACTGTTTATTCATGTTTATTCTACGTGTTTTAAATGGAAAAACACTTGGAGCGACTCAGTATTCCCATGCAAATCATCTCTCACACACATCACTCATGCAGAGGAGCTTTCCAATTAATTTTGAGAAGGATATGAGACTGTTAAGACCAGACATGTCTGAGGAAAAAAACACAAATAACTCACGTCGAATTCAATAAACTGATTACGAACTACATAACTATGTTCATTTCAAATCAACTCTGTATTTTTCTTTATATTCTAACGGGTCCGCAAGCGAACGCACTTGCAAATAGCACCTTTAGGTTACTGGTCCACTAGTTTCCAACAAACTAACGCGTAACAAAAACAAAAAGAGTGAAAAGCTTTTATAAACGTTTGTTATCAAATCAACATGCTTTACTCAAAACACTCAAAAAAATCATTTATTGGATTTTTTGATAGATCCAAGTGACACTTCCCAATTTACTAGCCTTTTACAACGTAAAACTTACTCGAAAGCTTGTGAGAAGTTATGAGCTTGAGTTGCACTACGATGGATAACTAGAATTCAAGATTAGAAGAACTACATTTTAATAGAGTTTCGGCATCACATAAATATTTGTTACAAACCACAAACCTCGTTAACAATTTCAAACTACGTGATCAGTATGTACTAAATCATTGAGTCTTGAGTTTCTTACTTCTGACGCTCTTCAAAAGCCTTCTTGCTCCATAGAAAACAATAAATGCAGTAATTAAGCAGAATGCCAAAAGTAAAAGAAATATATCCAAGTTATAATACACTATAAAACTGAGATTTCGTCCCGTGACGAGAAATTCGGGGATGTGGCCAAACTCAGCAGCTAGCTCCACGGTCTTCACCAACTTCTCTTCGGGAGAAAATGTTCGCTTGGCAAGAAGATCACGAATCCGACGGGCAGCGGTGGTGTATCTGGACGAATTGGCTAGGAGCTTAGGACTACATGTACAATAAGACTGCTTCTATCGTTCAATCGGTTTTTGGTTTGAGACTAAAGTTTGATTTCTTCGGTTTGCTAGTAAAGTAAGGAACGCGTGTACGAATAAAATTAAATGTAAAATAAACCAACTTTTTATTTGTAAGAACCGCTTCGACAGCATTTCGCAGTGCATTGAGGTTTTGAAGATTAAACTTATCCAGCATCATTCCTGAAACAAGCTACTTGAATGGGCGGGAAAATGTGAAGCTGATAAAATAAAAACAAGTTAACCCCCTCTTTTTACCGCTTTTGTATGTGAAGTAATATGATTAGCTTAATTTTGAATAGTCCGGAACCCGGCATTTTATAAAATGTATTATGAAGTGATGTCATGACCCTTGGAAGTTAATATCTACGATACCTTATCAAAAAACAAAGCAGGGTTCGTTTTCCATGTGTTAATGAAAACCTACCAAAGCCAAATTTTTCGGCTATTCTTCCATTCCTGATTTGATCGCCAAACAATGGTATGATAATCATAGGCTTTCCGTATGTGGCACTTTCAAGCAAACTGCCAGCACCGCCATGTGTGATAAAGAGAATGAGACGATCGTCCGCTGAAAATTAACACTTGATATTTGAACCTTCAATCTAGATCAAAGTCATTAGCAAATCTTTGACAGGAACTATTTTCTTAAAAGAAGATGCGCGGTCAATATGAAATGTATACGTGATATAGAGCATGGAACGCTGTCAAAATCTGCTTTCAATATCTACAAAAATTTCTGGGAGAGAAATCATTGAAATTTCTTGAAGCAAGAATTTGAAACCCGCGGCTACTCAGGACTAGAGTCTGCGAGCTCAAATGGGACCGCGATTACTGCCAGGGTACTTAATGCAGGTATATCTTCAGTCTAAGAACTTATGCTAATCATTACTCCTTTCAGGCCCCAAAAAGACCTCAACACTTTATCACCTTAGTTGAATCCTTGATTTTTTAACACAAAAAATCCCATAAATCCTCTCCCAGAAGAAGCGCCTTGCAGATATCGAAGGCCATTTCGAAATTGTTGTTCTATGCTCTGGAAGACTGTTTACATTTCTATGAGAACTCCAATTCGACCAAATGTCCTCCCTTGTAAGATTAGGAGCCTGCAAAGCTTTACATTCGGATATCTCTTATCAATTTTTGAGGCTAAGATGGGACAGCCAAATTGAGGAGGGGAGCAGAACGAAAAATCTCTCATAAAGAGAGAGTTTTGATTTCTTCCTATTTCCTTTTAGTTCAAATTTTTTTAATAAATGAAGCAGTACGTGCACAGCCTTATAACTCGTGCGCACCACTCTCGAAAATTTTGTAACCCACTCATCCATACTCCCTTTTTGGGGATCCGCTACTGCGGACTCCATATGTTAAAATGTTATATGTAAACACTTAGAGCTAGAGCATCGCCAAAAAATAGAGCCAAATTTGTTGCTCACCGAGCAAGTCCGTTTGAGGCGTCCATTTTGACAGTATCAGATTCTCCACACCGTCTGCAGACGGCACCTTTGTATCTTCGTATTTCCAGATAAACGTAATATCTGGATATCTGAGTTAATCAATAATAAATAAATTATTAGTTAGACATCACAGTAACATACTAACTTACGACTTTACAAGGTTCATAACGGCACGTTTATAGGTATCCGGCATTTTCGAACTTTGTAAAACAGAACCGAAAGAGATGAGTATGGTACGGGAACGCACACTCAGGATTTCATTCCAATACCAAAAGCAAAAAATTTTACCATTACTTTGATGCACATATCAGCCCGTTCCCAAGGTAATTCACTTCCTCTGGAACAAGCGCCACATTTCGCGAAACAGAGGTTTATAAAAGTTACCAGTGCTTCACCTCTGCTTCGCAGAGGTTCGCACTGGCGTCATGAATCGTAATAAACTCACTCTCTGAGATTGTCTCTCAAATCATTGTTTGGTTGATTGCAGCGTGAGAGCCTTAGTTAGAAATGAACCATACTCGCTGTCTTAATCTCACATGATGTTAAGTATCGTAAATCATTCCTCACTGTAATTTCGTAACGGACAAACTCCACACAACTTCAAATTAAGCCGCTTATTATAAGTCATGATCAGCAGTTGATGCAGCTTTCCATGCTCCTTCAAATGGCTATATTTTTAATGCAGTTTGACTAACAAACTCTCAAAAACTTCGACATGTGATTTTTGAAGAGGAGCGTTTCGTACAGAGCTAATTTGGATTTTTGGAGGCAACTTCACGTCAGTATTCTTTCCCGATTAAAAACTGGTAACAAACAGTCTAGAGGAATGGGGCATCTACGTTTGTCCGGCTTCTAGCGTGGGTCCAAAGATGAAAAATGGAGCTGGACTCCGCGAAAGCTATCAAGCTATTATATATCCACTCATTCAAGTTCTGCCCATATATGGACTGGAAGTCGTCCACGCCTTTGGCGGTTCCCAAAAGGTAATTTTTGAAGAGTTTCAGAGATTTTGCACTTCGTACTACTTGGAATTAAGGCTATGAATTGGCTACAAAATTACAAAAACTTAAAAGCAGATTTGGGTAGATGCTGCCTTCAAAGAATTCACAGGATTTCAAAATTATTTCCACTACAAGGAAATTTAAGTCACTTGCAATTTAACTCATTTAAGGAATTTTCAAAACTCCACCCCTTCCCCCCGCCACGGCATTGATATGTATGTCTAGTAAACTCAATTTTTAGTAGGAATATAGTTTTCGAGGATAGTCCTGTTTTGCCTCTTACCCCTCCCCTCATGTCTGATAGACTGAAGCCTTGTATATTCAGAGACTCAAAATCATTTTGATTTTCATCCAAAAAATTTTAATGCACACCTTTTCAAGCGGTTTAGGTCTGCGAACGGTAATACCACCAATATCCACGATTTTGTGTAGTGTCGGTTTTGCAAATTCTAGCATTGGTTCAGTGTTCGTAAGCATCCATGTCATGTTTGATACAGTATCCTGTAACAAAAACAAACGTGATTATAAGACTGATTATGGATAGGAATAAGGCTGCCGAAACCTACCCATATTGGAGTGATAGATTTTCCGAGCTTTTCCACCATCACCTTCTCTGCAGCTCTTGCAGCATTCAGTTGAAAGTAATAAGAGAGGTAACTGTAGATGATGTTTTTGACACGAGTTGAAAAGGATGTTGAATCATCCGTGACTCCTTGTGATGCTGAAAAAATTCATTGCACAAACATTTTTTATCTTTTTTAAAATAGACAGATCTCAGTGATCTGTTAGTCTTTGAAGTTGAGATAATAGTGCGCGTCTTAGACAGTTTAAAAAGTCAAAGAAGTTCTTTCACAATTATTCAAAAAATATTGGAAAATGTATTATGATGGTCATTACTACTTTACTAACAAATACAATGCATGAAGATGCATCGCAAGGTTTAATTTCAATAACTGATTTGCTTCGCGGACTGACAAAGTCAAGCCCGATTTTTCAGCATTCAAGAATGATCCCATCTCAACTTGCAGTTTCACAATGGTTTACCGAAGTGGCGAGAGGAGGGGGAAGAGAGAAGATGCAAAATGGCACAGATTCTATGAGGATGACTTCATAGAATCGTGGTCATGGTCTTGTTCAGCAAGCAATTCGACACATATTTTGATAGAATTAAGTCCAGACCCAACCTCCACGCTCCACGAACTGTAAGACACAGGAAATGTCTCTTTCTTGAGGAAATTGAAGAAATGAAGTGCGAAATGCAATAGATAAAGCCATTGTCATCATGTATTGTGGTAGCGAGTCTTCTACAATAAATCAGATGCGTTGGCCTTGTAGTCTTCCATCTGCCCTTTAACTTGTGGATTCTTTGAGACTGTCACCTTGCACATTGAAGGCAGCGTCCAGGCAATACCCATCCACCCAGATTACCACATAGTTGTAAAGAGGGGCCCATGAGTATCCGATATACGTTGGTCCGATCCTTTGACGTTGCCTCCAAAAGGAGATAGGGGCCTGTGATACGTATCACAAGCTGCCCCTTCGTATCACAAACCACCCTTGAGGACGACTGCTCACGCAGGTGTGCAGTTGCATTGCAGTCCCAGAATGGCAGAAACATGAGAGGCGAAATTTTGCCCGGACGCTGCCTTTAACTCAACCATGAAGGCTACCTTAAATCCGTGGTCTTTGGAAAACGTACACCATTAATTGCACCTTGAAGGGTTGAACGAAATCTGCTTTTGGCATCTGCTGTGCGCTCTTCCGAAGGAATATATGAAAATTTCCTGCTATTATTACACTGTTCTGATGACAAGATTCACCAATATCGTTGGAATGGTCACTAGCTCACCACAAAAGAGCATCCAAATAAAATAAAACTTTACGTTGAGTTCAGGAGATTTGTCTCCTATATACTACTATACCGATTACTAAAAAGTCTGGTTACTGTTGATTGTGTATGCTAGATCTCGTGAAATTGATATGGAAAAAGGTTCCTAACTTCGTTTAGAGAGTTGCACAACAGAGATTGGATATAGATTTCGAATCAGGGCCGGTAGTAATCCCCCCGACCTGGCGGCAGGTCTCGTCGGCAGGTTGCTGGCACCTTTCCGCGAGGTGGCCAGAAACTAAGAACCGAAATTTAGGCCGTCCCAGGCCTTTTTTCAAAAAATTTTCTCGATAAAGTTGCCGCCTCGACTCTGTAGAAAAGTTCATAAAAATCTGCGGCTCCCAGGGCTCAGCACAGCTGGCACCGGGTCAAGCTGGATATCGTTTTTAGCGCGGAACAAAGGGGATATCGTTTCTACAGGGGCCGAGGCGGAGAACTGCCGCAAAAATGCAGCCGGCATGCCACCGGCATGCCATTGGCAAGCTGTCCATCAACAAACAAAGGGGTTGTTTTCAGCCAAGACGCAATAGTATGACACCAAATTTGGTGTGTGCATGCGCGTTGGTGGACCGGAACTACGGGCCAAAAATTTATGAAAACTTATGTGAATGAAAGCTGTGCCCAACTTTTTTCTGAATTAGCTGGCACCGTGCCAGCTGGGTGCCAGCTGAGCTGGCACCGACACTTTGCTCACATAAGTTTTCATACTATTTTACATAAAATGTATCTACGCTGTAAAAGATTACATACGGAGAAGAAACAGTTTCATAATGTTCTCTTTTCAGCGTTTTATAGCAATTTGAAAACCACTCGGTCCGCTCCGCCGTCGAAAAATCGGCTTTTTCTGCTTCTCAAGATGTGATTCGACCACTTAAAAAGCTCAGAAAGCTGTGAAAAGTTCTTTCATGAAATCAGAAATGCACGAAAACACTATACATTTTTTTTACATAATATAAAAATGATGGCGGGTTTTCAAAACAGGTCAAAAGGAACTTCGTACGAAATTTTCGATATCAAACGGGACTTCGTTTTGAAATTTTCCTGGTGCCAGCTCGTGCCGAGCCCTGGCGGCTCCAGAACTCCTCTTATAGGAAAATATCTGGAATTCCAGGAGGAGCTGCCGGCAACTTCGCGAGGTCAGTTGCCTGCAACCTGCCGGCAAGTTGGCGGAATCCGCGAGATGGCAGCTGCCGGCAGGTCAGAGAGCACGGGAAATAGCGTGCTCTTTTGAGAGAGGTAGCTGCCGGCATCTCGACGTGCCCCTACCACGTCGAGGTGGTGGCACCTTTGCCGACGGCGTCTGTGAGATTGCGAATTGCGGCGATATCACACAATTTACGTCAGGCGAAAACATCAAAAAATTCTACTTTCCATCCAAAAACCTTCATTTTTCTCATTATATGAGTTTTTCTTTTTTAAAATGACGATTTTCTAACAGTAAAAAAATCTAGCAATGCCTTAGAACCATAAGGAACACCATCTTCTTTTGCAATCCCTTCTAAATCTTATTTGCAGCGATTTCGTCCCTCTCTCGCTCATATCAAAAAAAGCTGATTTGAAGCTGATTTGACCCAACTTTTGAGCAGTGATACTTCTCTTTGATTGCGTTGCGTTTTCAATGTTGTGTTCAGATTTTTTTTAGGGTTCAGGATTTTAGGGTTTATGGTTGTTATGGTTCTCCTACGCTTGTTTCTGAGGCTTGATTTTAATTGCACTTTTTGCTTCTACTTTATTTTCATCTCTCAAATTCCTTTTTCTAGATCCTTGCTTTTGTGCTGTGCGTGTCTCTGTCCTTTTCGTTTGACGGTTCTATGGCACGCGACTCCGCCTGTCTCAGTTTGGTGTTCACTCTGGGCTGACTATGATCGAAGGGATGCGAATAAATGAATGTCTTGCGTTGGATTTTAGGGATCAGATTCCACCAAATCATTGGACCTTGGTTTACACCATTGCCATTCGTTGTGTTGGCTTTTTTTTTCAACTTTATACCTCACCCGTTAGTTTGGGTCTGGCTCATCTCATCATTTCCATTGATGCTTGGGTTAGCTTGTTTGGGCTTGAAACTTCTGCATTGTGCAACCTCTTCCGGAGTTCTGCTCTCTCCCCAGAGTTTGGTTGGGCGGGTTTTACCAATATTACTACCAATACACCTGCTTCCAACATATACATTTGCTTATGTTGAATAAGAGCATTTTTGCTAAAAGCAGGGGGCATGAGACAGACTCCATCGAACCTCTACACATGTGATGACTTCATATTAGTCTAGACAAGCTCACTCCCTTTCTATCCCTAGAAGATATTTTGCGGGCTGGACTTGAGCTGATTTAGTGGGGTTTTGCCTTTTGTTCCTTTTTTTGTCCCTAATTGTTTAGTTGATGCTTCGCTCTGTGTATTGGGCACGCCTTGTGCGTATCAAATAAATAAATAAATAAATAAATATCAATCAGCTGTTCTTTCAGGTCAAAGTCTCTCGCGCAATGTATCTATCCCTCTTACAGGCGGCCATTTGCCAGTGCGTTCCTCACATTGCTGATGCAAACGGCAAGGACTGACCGAATGGTCGAGTGGGTAACGTGGCAGCACTTGAAGTTAGCAAACTTAGATTCAACCGCGCGCGGGACAGCAGTTTTGCGGCTGTCTACGTCATCAAAATTTGATGGGCGAAATAAGTGCGTACTAAGATTATACAAGATTACTGAAACCTACAATCACTCCGCGAGCTGCCGGCGGAGTTGGCATCTTTCCGCGAAGTGTGCCAACTTGCCGGCATCTATGATGCCACCAGGTAGGGTAGATTACTATCGGCCCAGGTACCTCACTGCAAAAGGCCACGGTGATCAAGTATTCTTCCCCTGTCAGCAGCAGATGATCATCAACGTATTCATTGGTAATAATAAACTGGATAAAATTGTTTTTACTTGATTTCCATGCCAAGCGACAAGGCGAATGCCAAAAATGTGTGAGGGCAAACACCAGAACAAACAAAGCCTAATGGCGTTCAAGCTTTTGCACGAAGTTTGACCCATCTGAAATTTGAAGCTAAAATATGAAAAGGTTCCAAATGTCTGAAAAGCCGATTACAATTGAATCTTTGTCCAGAAAAGCAAAAAACGCAATCCCCACATCAAACATTCATAGTTACCACTGCTGTATATTTTTCCAAGAATAAAGTGAAAAAACGAAGTTTCCTATGCCTTCCTCAAATTGAGTCTGGGCTCCAGCGCTTGTAGACTAGCGAAAATCTAATTGTTCTAACAAAAGCTTGTAGCACCCCCACAATGGTCGGTCGCCTCATCGTGGCGTGGGGGTGACACTGGGTGTCGAACTGCGATGCACAGCCGAGTGTATACTCTGGTAGGGCCTCCCAAGCTGTGAAGGAGTTCGATGTTTCCGGTTTCGGCCGGATGCCTAGCTAAGAACTGGCCGCGCCAGATTCTCCGCCGTCTGGCTTCTTCTGGTCGCTAGGCGGTCCCTCCCCGCTCCAAGCCCGGGGTCAGCGATCACCCCGTGGAAATCAAGAGTAGGCCTGGTAAGCCACCTCTTGTAGGGGAACAAATTTTATTACTCAGACAGCAAGAAGATTTAGAAAAAACCCTGTACATCGGATCCCGCCTACGGCGCCGGGTGGTAGCAAGAACGATGTCAGGGTACTCAGGGCGCCTTTCGGATTGGACAAAAACGACACGTCTGCCCGGACGACACGCCATGGAGACTGCCTCATGCTCTGCACTTACAACGCCAGGACAGTCTTCACAAACGCCGACCTCCACGCTCTTCTCGACGCTGCAGAGCACATCAACTACCACATCATTGCTCTGCAGGAAACGAAGTCCAGGAAGAAGGACGTGCGACAGATGAGTGATGGGACCCTCATCATTCGTGGTGAAAAGGTTCCATCACGAAACGTGGGAGGCGTCGGCTTTGTCGTCCACCCATCTATCGTCCATCTTGTCGATTCGCACGAGATCCTATCACCTCGACTAGGCATCCTACGACTACGACCTCCACATCAGAAGACCATCAGCATCATCAACTGCTATTCTCCAACATCAGCAGCTGACGAATCAGAACTAGATGCTTTCTACGAAGATGTGGAGGAGGTCGTCCGCAACGAGAAGTCCTTTTACAAGTTTGTTGTGGGCGACTTCAACGCGAAAATCGGGATGCCATTGGAAAGGGAATATAGGATCGGGAAGTTTGGATATGGGCTCCGGAACGAAAACGGCAACCGTCTTGTTGGGCTTCTCTCCGCCGCACGACTTTTCCATGGAAATTCCATCTTTATGAAGAAGGAACATCGCCGGTGGACATGGGAATCGCCCAACGGAACGACCCACGCGGAGATCGACCACATTCTCACCAACCGAAGGTGGAGCTTACTCGATGTCTCTGTAGTTCCATCCTTCTGTAGTGGCTCCGATCACCGCCTCCTTCGAGCGAAGATATGACTCAGCCGAAGGCTGGAAAAGAAAGTCTGTCATAGTGCCGCGAGAAGGAAGGAAGTCGTTTATGACGGTAACAGGCTGGAAGAGCTCATATCAAGTTGTGACTGGCCCATCGAGGAGGACCCAACGTACGACTACGACCGGCTTCTGAAAGGATTGCGAGCCTGCGGAGAATGCGCCTCAGTGACTTCTGAGAAGAACTTGGACCGCATTTCGAAGACCACCAAGGAATTGCTTGAAAGAAGAAGATCATTGAGGCAGGATCCGAATGCAACTCATCTCGAGCGACTGATTGCCAACACCAGTTGCAGAACAGCTTTGCAAGAGGATCTCAGGAAGTACAGGCAAGCCAAGATACTGGAAGCAGCGGAAAGAAGACGAAGTCTCAAGAAGTGCCGAAGGGACCTCTGCGAATATCACGTACCGCTGGCTGCACTACTGAACGAAGACGGGACTCCGACTTCTTCCCGATACAAGATGGAATCTATCGCGAAGAACTTCTACACCAACCTCTTCCGCTCATCAACACCCGTGCAGATGCCCGTTGTTCCCACTGGAGAAGTACCACCACGAATTCTACCTGCTGAAGTGCGTATCGCGATACAGACCATGAAGACGTCCACGGCTCCAGGACCAGATCATCTTTCCGTCGAACTTCTGCGAGCCGGAGGACACCGTCTACACGAGATTCTAGCGTCGCATTTGACATCTTACCTTCAGAAGGAGAAGATTCCCGACCAGTGGAGAACGTCAAGAACCGTCCTTCTCTTCAAGAAGGGTGAACGGGAGGATCTTCGGAACTATCGTCCAATATGCTTGCTGAGTGTGCTGTACAAGCTTTTCACGAAGATTATCCTCGCTCGTATATCAAGGACACTGGATGAAGCCCAACCCCAAGAACAAGCTGGATTTCGCAAAGGATTCAGCTGCATGGACCACATCCAGACCGTTTCGAGGGTCATAGAAGTCTGCCGAAAGTACCGACTGCCTCTCGTCCTAACCTTTGTCGACTACGAGAAAGCCTTCGACAGCGTCGAAACCAACGCCATCCTGTCTGCGCTAGTCGATCAAGGAGTGGACCCAGCTTACGTGAGGACGTTAGCCGACTGCTACAAGGACTGTACAACGACGATGCAGCTATTCCATCGCCCCCTGACCATACCAATCGGGAAGGGGGTCCGACAAGGCGACACAATCTCGCCGAAGCTGTTCACCGCGGCCTTGCAGTGGGTGATGAAGTCACTGGACTGGGACGAGAGAGGCATACGAGTTGATGGGAGATTCCTGTCCAACCTTCGTTTTGCGGACGACATCGTTCTCTTCTCGAGCAGTATCACCGAAGCAGAGACGATGCTGAAGGAACTAAACGAAGTAGGGAAGAAGATCGGACTGCGAATAAATCGGAAGAAGACTCAGTTCATGAAGAACGCCCTTTGCAAAGATGCAGAAATGGAATTGGAAGGCACCCCGATTATGGAGACGTCTTCCTACGTGTATCTCGGACGTTCGATGAACATGGAGAACGACTTGAGGGAAGAACTTAACAGGAGAAGAAGAGCAGCCTGGGCCGCCTTCGGGCCTCTGAAGAAAGCCACCGACCAACTGACGGACCCGGAGCTTCGTGCCCACCTGTTCGACTCAACCGTTCTCCCGGCGCTCTGTTACGCAGCTGAGACTTGGGCCGACACTGTAGCCACGTCGAAAGCTTTACGGACCACCCACAGAGCGCTCGAGCGCAGTCTTCTGAAGATGACCCGACGCAAGCAACATCTAGTCGGACTTCGCAGCACGGATATGAGAAGAATGTCCCGTCTTCGTGACCCAGCGGAGTACGTCGCGAAAGCCAAACACCGATGGGCCGGTCACATAATGAGAAGAACAGACGACAGATGGACACTAAGAACATCGGAGTGGATTCCTCGCGAAGCCAAACGTCCCCGAGGAAGACCTCCAACGAGATGGGCAGACGTGTTCGTGGAACGGATGGACCAGCTGAGAAATCAGCTGGATACGATTTCTGCACCTGGAACTCGTGGACGCAGCCACCGACGTCAGCCAAGAAGATCGTGGATGTCAGAAGCGAGGGACAGGGAAAAATGGAAACTTCTGAGCTGGGGCCCGCACGTCACGTGAAGCCGGGCCATCTAAGTATCTAACAAGGGAGAGATACATGGTCGAAGTGGCATTTCATCTTGAAATGTATACTGTATGTCTTATAGAGCTTAGGATGCTGATTCCGAATCTGTCTTCGCTATCTGCCGAGCACCTCTGGACGCCGAGTTATGAGCGTTCTTTGGGTTAAAAAATTGAATGCGTAATTAGGGCAAAATTCGTCAGAATTGCTCAAATGGTCCAATGTTGGTTACCAGAGCACCCCATTTCAAAGGATACCTTTTGCCCAAAACACTCATACAACATGTTGCTCTATTTAGGCGCTGAAAAGTCCGTAATAGTCAATTTTACTTGAATTCTGCGTTCATTTTTCGCTCCAAAAAACATGTATAACTCGGCGTCCAGAGGCGCTCGGCAGATAACGAAGAAAGATTCGGAATCAGCGTTTAACGTTCTTCAAAATAGTATATGACCCATTTGAAAAGGCCACTTCGACTGATCCGACCTCCTTTGTAAGTATCTAGGTAAAGTTTGTAGCATAAATTAACTACGTCAGAGCAGCACATTTTTGCCTTGGAAGAAAACTTAGATCTGGTTTCTTAGAGTTTAGACCAGAGAGGTACAGCAACTGTATATAGATTCTATGATTTAAAGGACTTATTAGTGAGTGAAAGGTGGTTAGGCCTTTTTGGACAAAGAATCGATTATCTTCGATATGGTATGTGGAACTTGTTAAATTTTCTCTTCAAACTTTGGTGCAGAAACTTGGTATTCTTAGAGACCTTGCTTGTTCTATTGAAGGGCACCCTCACATTCTTGGGGATAGTCTTGTTGCAGTGAAATGGGAATTAAATGAAAAGCGACATTTCCTCTTCTCAACCCGATATTCTATCAGCTTATGGTTCAGTAAGTCTTTCTGCTAAATGGGTATAACAACAACATTTAGAGTGGGTTACAAAGACAGTGACTTGAATGGTTCAGGAATGGTCTACGAGACTATAGCTAAACTTTCCCGCTGGAGAGTATTAGCTTTGACAGAAGCTGCGGATTCTGATTTTTACTGGTTGAGTTCTTAGTACTTTGTTTTAGTTATGGCACGCCTTGTATATAATAAATAAATAAATAGATAGATAAAAGTCTATCGTTCCTAAAATTTCTATTACCTTTCGATAAAACATAATGAAAAGAGCAAAAAACTGCATTTCTTTTTCGAAGTTCTTATTATATTTTAATCCGCAATTTCCAGCTTTTTGTATAATCCCTTGATGTTCCCTGGCAGGCGACCGTCTTTTCTTTAGAGTCGCATTTTTTTTTTCGAAGTTAATGAAATCATCTCTCGCTCATCTTAAACCAATTACGTAGACAAACAGTGCTAAGCATGTTTCCGACATGAACATAAGTGATGAAGATCTCAATAAACCGCAAGTCGGAACTTGGAGTTTATCAAAACTTTCAATTTCACTTAAATCGATTTTTTAGAAAAACCCTCAGCTCTGTAGGGTGTTGAATAACTAGCAATATTTTCATTGCTTTTGAGGAAAAGACTTTGGAGAAAAGACGTCGGCCGTCGGGGATTTGCAAGGATCACACAAGTAGATGGAAAATGCTCTTGTACAACTTCTCGCTCCCGTTCATTACATTTATAGAGAAAAGTAGTAAAAACCTGAGAACGGATAAACGGTATAAACCGTTCAGAACCTCGCAGCTTTACAATTTGAAGCTTTCTTCCGAGCTGCGATTTATTTTCCCCAGCGGAGGTGTTAATGCATGCGGCCCTTACACGACATTCTTTACTTCAGTTTTTGTTAAATGCACGAATGCATCTGTGAGAGCTCCATTCTTCCGGAGATGCAGATGCACGGACATTGCCCAAAAAACTGTAATTTCATTAAGGAAACTAGTTTGTAAATGTTCAACAGTACCATCTTTCCACAGCTACGACATTGCTTTCTTGAAGCAGAATCGCGGTTCAGGTGAGTAGAGGGAGTACCATTATGTTACAAGGAGGAAACGGAACGGTTGGAGATAATGTCAAGTTGTGATTCGACCAATGGGCTTTAACAGTGCTTGATACCTGGCACATAGCTGGGAATTACTGGAACACCGACAGCATAAGCGGAACCCTCCATCAGGCTTGAGACAGTGTGTGCTCCAACAACGTTTTTGAGCCCGATGGCTTCAAACACGGCTGAAAACGCTAAGTGAATAGGCGATCACAAGATTTAACTTTTTCCTTACCCAAGCCAGAAAAGTCGAACAACTCTGCAATGCCAACATTGAAGTTCTCGGATTTTAATTGCTGCAGCACTTGTTTATCGCCAAGAATAGCTAGAATTTGGAGCGAATTACAGTAAGTACTTTTGATAATTATGAGATTAACTCACTTCTTACACTGAATGTTACGAGTTCTCGTATAGTGGGTATTAACTGGAATAACAAAATCATAGAATCGTAAAAGGTGCCCAAAAGTCTTTGAGCCTGTATTTTCTCAGCTAAATTTGAACGAACCAATAAATAGAGACAAACTCCGGTATACAGCAGCCTATTCATTCCTACAGCTCATAACATCTACGTAAACTCATAGTTCAAAACGTGCAGCAGTGAACCCTTTGAAGGCCAGCAAAACCCTAAAACGTACCCACCATGACAGACGGGTGGTTGACGTCGAGTATGTCTCCTGTCTTCTGAAGGCACGAGCTCCAAACAACCCAAATTTTGGTGGAGAACAGCTTCGACCTATTCTTACAAGATCGCAAAAATGGTTTGGGGTTTCAACGCGATGTTTGAAAACACTCCAAGCTGGGAATCCCTTTTTAAGATTTTGCAGAATTCAAAATGCTGCAAGCAAATTCTTGAGAATATTCAGAAAGGCAGCAATTATAGTGTAAACGGCGGAAACATAAAACAATGTTTTGCCAAAAAAATACAAGCATCACAGAGAGTTAGCGGCTCAGACTGATTTGGTGTAAGTGTTTCAGCTTTATCGGGTTTTTACTATGAAAACTTTTTTGGTGCCCGGAGACATCATCAAATTTGTGTTTTGATCTTACAGTAATAAACAAGAACCGGTACTCTGTATTACACTCTGACCATGGAGCGAAGCTAGCTCTATAATATCATAATTAAAGGTCAGCGAAAGCTATCAAGATAAGAAACTTAATCACTTGAACAACTGGCACTATTCAGTTGGCTTGACCTCAAAACCGTGGTAATGTTTGTTTAAAAGAACATGACATGAGAATGCGATACAAATCGCACTATTTTTTAGGGCATCATAGAAATCTTCACGAAAAGCTCACCTCCCGGATTTAACTACCGAAAACGGAAGATATTAGCGATATACAGTGTTGGCAAAGTTAGGCTCAAAGACACCCCGTATTTTGGATATATAGAGCACATACCCTGAAAAACTGCAAGGGATTCGTAGCACTTTCAGTCCATTTGGTGTCGTGATCCTTTTGAAAGGTGACTAACAAAGGAGCAATCACGTTTTTATCCACTTCTATTTGAATTAATCGCGATTTTTCAGTGCCGTTGTTTAGAAACGGTGCGAGCACAAGTTGAAGTGTTACTTAAAACATGAGTAAGATTAGCAAGAAAGTTTCCGTCATTCTTGGGTCATCATACTTTGCTGGGCACTATCTACATACCCTTTGAATCAATGAGAATGACGGCTGGAAGGTAACGCTCGCGCCTGCGACGCAGTCTATGTCTCTCTCGTGAAAGTGCTCTCTAATCATTCGCTAGGCCGAATCAGATCAGAAAGCCTCGCCCTCCAGCTGCCATCCAGTTGAATCAAAGGATAGGTATCAGAACATAAGAGAAGTCCAGCCGTAGCAACTGACCACATCATGCCCAGCGTCCACAAGAGCATCAGCAATGTTACCCATATAATTAACGTGACTATAGGCGAATTTAGGATTGACGACGAGAATTTTGTATGCGTTACAGAAATGGATTAACAATAGCAGTTTAGCCAGCAGCCGCATGTCTGCATTAGGAATTCATAAGAAAAACTGATAGGAACGATTCCAATCGACAAAATAGAAATAACGAAAAAAAATAAACGCCTTAGTTTTTTACGACAAACCGTAAGAAAAAGTTCTGATAAGAGAGAAAAAAATGTCGTACACGTCTATTGCAGTCACCCTTCCTGAGTAAAAGTTATTCGATTTGTAAGAGGATTAATGTGGTAAATATTTCATATTGAGATGATGACAGGTCAAGATATGAAGACAAGTGCAAACTTTGCAGAAAAATTTAGCAGGTCTAAATTTATCTCTTCGGGCTCACGCAAGAAGGCACAGCGACTATGGTGAGAGCGAGAATTTGCTAAGAAGTGAAAATAGAGTTTTTTAAATTAGATTCTAAATTCTAATGCGAAAGTATACTAGGTTGCCATGAAGTTTTGTAGCACCATTTTTGAAAATTCATGATTTCTTGCCTTCCCATCCAATTTGCTTGGTTTTGTAGGTTGTCCCATAAGTCTTTTCAAAATTGATTCTTTACTGCAATAGGCCACTTCTTCGCAAATTTCTCGTGGTAATCGTACCTTCCGATAGAGCAAGCAATCTCTACAAGAGACGATCAAACATTCGCTACAACTGAGATCCAGACAAAGTCTGAATTCGAAATGTAATAGATTTAAATACCCAAAAAATGAAAAAAATTGAATCTTCGTCAAAAAAAATTCTGTCTAGCATATACTTTCTACATCGGACGTTCATACATACAGTTGCTGTATTAAAATAAAAAGTTGTACGTTTTCGTAAAAGCTATGCTGGACTGTTCCTACATAGATAGTTCTATAATATAAACTTTTGTGAGTACCACTATGAATTTTCAATTCGTGTGCTTTACTTTTAAAGAATCAACGAATTTAGAGCAAAAAAACAAAAAAGAGCATTTTCTAGGTTCCTCACGATTTTGGCCTACTTTTGTTTTTCGATTTCAAGCTATGGAGAAATTCAGCAAATGTACACATAAATGTAAGATGTGGGTATTAGAGGCTATTAGAGGTCCGTACTTTTTGGGCTGATCCACTTTTTCGGGCATTTGAAACTATTCGAATCGGCTGCAAACTTCACGCGTACTACACCCTTGCGATCTTCCGAAGATCATCTTGTAGAGCTTGCGTTGCTCTATCAAATAATCAAGCTCCAATTCAAAAAATCGAGGCAAGCTGATTTTCGCCGATATATCAATTTTTCTATGTTTGGTCTTAGAAAGTCCGAAACTTCCAATAAAAATAGCAACGACTGATATTTTAGGGTTTATTAACTGCTCTTTTTAATTGAGCAAAACTAGCGCACACTAGCTTGTGAAAAGTTATGATTTTTTAGCAAGCAATACAAAATAGCGGATTTGATTTTTGGCATTTTGGAAATCACAAGTTTTCATCGAGGTATGTTTATAAAATGCAGGTAATGAAAAATGAAAATAAAATTTATTTAAAATATAACACACCGACAGAAAAAGCAAAGAAAAGAAAGCAGGATACGAATTCTGAAAAAGGTGCGACATAACTTTGGTGCCAACGCAATATTCAAGTAAAGAGGAAGTGATGTAGACAAACATGTTTATAAAAATTACAAACGCTGATGTACAATGTATGAAGTTCACGTGTGTCAATCCCATAGGTTTTCCACGTCCCTATCAGTAACTATTTATCAGTTTACATTTTTGAAACAAAAAAACCGTTACCGCAAATGACATGATTAGTGTGACAGGTGAGAAATGTACAAAAATTTGCAAAGCAAGTGCGCCACAATCTGTAGAGGAATAAAGTGGGCATCATTGAAAAGAAAAGCAGAAAGTAGGACAAAAATAGCATCAATCTTGACAGCATATAGATCTAAATTTATCGACGTGCTGATAGCCGTTTCAGATAGACAAAGTGTACAAGTAGATGAATCTTGAAGCACTGCCTCAGACTCTATCTAATCTTCAAAACAGTTCGTTCAAAGAAGTTGACAGCGTTTGTCATAGATTTGAATGTAATTTCAAGAATCATTTCTGCAGACAACAGAACAGTTTGTTCTAGGATTGCCGATACTGATATAACAGGTATGAAATATTGTCACTGCTTGCCGCAAGGAATGATTTTCGCTCCGTAACAGAAAAAGAGACGTGTGCGTTCTTACTTTTTCCTGATGGAATCTGCGTCGAAATCCAAAATGGAGAATACAATAAATTACTTCTGAGCCATTGGTCTACGTGAAAAATCACATTTTTTGCGGAGAAAGTTGGAAAGGTCAGTAGGAAACTTCCGTGAGTACCAAGGGCTTTAAACTACGTTGACAAAATAAATTTGAGACCTCAGACTCTTTATTTGAAACTACTATATTACCTCTATGATGACTTGATAGGACCTTACTTTTTTCTATAACAAATCTTTATCGAGGACAAGTGTGTCAGCTTTACCGGGCTCGCTGGCACCCAAAAAATAGGGTCATCATAATATCACAGTGAGCAAGATGCAAATCTTATTAACAAACTTAGGCATCAATGATGCCGTCTCAAGTAATCAGAGAAAAGAAAAGGAGGGGAAGAAACCGGTCCCTGATTGAAAAAAAAGGAGAAAAGGCATTGGCTTTTCGATTCCCCAACCTGCAACAAGTTCATTGCTTCAACCTACGGAAGGAAGCTACGCTTTGTTGATAAAGGGAAGGGGCAGTTTGTTGAACCATCTGGATAATCTATGAAAAAGACTGTATTAACAAGAAAAAATGTTTTCTTTTAATTCAAGGATAATGAGTATTCTCACCAGTCCTACAAGTTGGTATGAAAATCAATATTCACTCGCATTAAGCCCAAGTTCTCTGAGCATAAGGAAAGAAAATCAAGATAAATGCGCCCATACCCAGAATCTTCACTGCCGGAAATTTCAGGCGGTCTCCACAGTGCGGCATTCCAAATCGAAACCTCTTTTTACACCGCAAAAAAGAACCGTGCAACTGAACATGCTGAACTTTTTCCAGCCTTGCTATTTTCCTTTCAAAAATGGTTTCAATTATAAAGCAATACTTTAGGTGGTAATACATAAGCCTTATAAAGACGTTTCAGAGCTGCAGGGTTATCAATATGCACTGTATAAAGGATCTGAAATAAAATATGAACATTCTCGCGCGTGCGCTGGCCGTGAGCGGTTGGCATTTCTAGTCTCTCCCTCTCATCTTCCGCTTTTATTGTACAATTGCAATTCTTTCGATTTCCATCTCTTATTAACGTTTCTTTTGTGTTCTTTGAGTCCTCAGAAGAAACTTTAAGAACAGAGTCGTTTACTTTGGTTTTGATTAACCTTCCAACAGCGTCCGTCCTTCACTGAACCTCATTTGAATTCAATTCGTCAATTTCTCTGGATTTTCCCATTGAATTCAATTGACACTATATTTGGTCGCATTTGTATTTGGTTCGGTTAGTCGTTAGTAGTTGCTTTGCAAATCTCCTTCCTCCTTTCGTTTACCCCAAATCCAAGCTATGCCTACAAAAAGCACGAAATCTCAGCGCCAAAATAAAAGAGATGGTCTAGCAGATCCTCTAACTCAACGCGCTAATATCAATATCACTTCACAACATCCTGGCTCAATTTCGCAGAACGGGTATGGTAACAATCGTGGTCCGACAACAATTTTTCAACTATTCAAAAAGCTGTTAGACCTCAACATACCCGAGGTAAGTGATATTACGAATGAAATCCTACTGCGTCTGGGCGAGCTTGGAGATGGGGCGGTCGAGAGGGATGTTAGGCAGAGAAGCATCGTGATTGCTGGCCTACCCGAACTTATGGGAGGAAACGATCAGACCGCTTCTTTGGCGTCTGAGCGTCAAAATGATACTGAACAAAAGGTTCGTGGAGTTCTTGACGCGTTGGATATCGAATGTAGACCTGTAAAAGTTTTTCGTATGGGCAATAGAGTGACTGACAGGCCACGTCTTGTAAAGGTTGAATTAACCCACGAGAAGTCATTGGACTTTTGCTCTCTCACGTGCCAGACTGCTCCGAGACTCCCCAACATTCAAGGGAGTCTACATAAGAAGGAGCATGACAGCACAGGAGAGGGAACAAGAGCGTAGTCTTCGGGAGCAGGCCAAAAAAATGAACCAGGGTAGAAGTTTCGAAGATCGCTTCGTAGTTTATAAAGGTGAGGTAGTTCTTGCTAGCTCACTTTCACGTAAAAATACATCCTCTTTACAAAATTTAGCAAATTCTCACCGCCAACCTTCTGTAGCACGCCAGAAAAACTGAATAACTCGCAAGGTAACTCTCTCAAATGTTACTTATTGAATGCAAGATCGTTACAAAATAAATTATCTCATTTGCATCATTTTTTGATCTCTAAATTTCCTGATGTTCTTTTCGTTACTGAAACATGGTTATCTCCTGAAATAACTGATGCAGAAATTGTGTTTGATCTACCATATACCATCTTTCGATGTGATAGAAAACATAGAAGAGGTGGTGGAGTTTGTACATTTGTTAAGTCGATGCTTTCATGTGAAAAAGTCGAAATAAACACTAATTACAACTGTGAAATCTCAGTAAGCGATCTGTACCATCCTCGATCGCTTGCCAAACTACGAATGTTATGTATTTACCGCCCTCCGAGTTCCGATCCTGACTCTGATACTATTCTCTTGGACCTGCTCTCGGTTTACGCTCTCGCTTCTACCGAAGTCTTGATTGTTGGTGATTTCAACCTCCCCATAAGATACCCCCAAGATTTTCGCTTTAGTAATCAATCAACAACCAACAAATTTTTCGAAATCTTTCAAAGTCTAAGCCTACATCAATTCGTAGATGAACCGACACGTGAAGAAACCATTCTTGATTTGGTCCTTGCACATAATCACTGTGTTGACAACTTGTCAGTCAAAGCACCCTTTGGAACCTCTGATCATAATATAATTGAATTCCGTTACAAATTCGATATTCCAAAGGTTACAGTTGTCCCATATCCTCGTTTTTCCAAGATTGACTTTGAAGCAT